TGCTCCATACTCTCAGCTGTTACCGACTAGTTGGGTGATCTTTAGGATGTTCACGTTACTCTCTAAGTGGTGACACCGTCTTCTGGGGATATTAATGCCTACTCCATTCATGAAGTTGCAAGAAAAATCAACTAATGTGGGTGAAGTTCCCTGAGTTCCACTTACCACCAGAATATCTTAGTCGCCACTAATGCCACAAGTGTTTGGTGAATGCATTGTGTCCCCAGTAAGCAATTCCACCTAGACAACGTCACAGCCCAAGCTGGGTCCAGATGGCACCTAAAGAAGTGGCCAGGAAGGCTGCCAGGCAGTCTCCATACCTCAAGCTCTTCTTTGACCAGACTTGTCTGGATGGAGATTAAACTCTGCAGCTGGTGAAAGCTCCAGATGATGCCATCTGAGCACAGCTGCACTGTTGATACTCACCCTTTCCCCCTTTTCTGGTCCAATCTTGATTTTCTGTGATCAGAGGACCTACACTTCCGGAATCGTGCTGCTTTCCTCCCCGATGGCCACCTTCCCCAACCCATACCTTCCTCTTCCTCCTCCTTCCCTGCTGTCTGTTTACTCACCAAGCACACATCTTGCTTTTTGACCCCAAGGGCAGTGGGTCTGGTAAGCATCCTGCTAATAACAAGGCACTGTCCTTTCTGAGCCCAGGAAAAGCCTTATCAATGAGTACAGAGGTCATGATTGAAAATTGGGGTATCTTGGCCCTCTAGGATGGCTTTTACTTGAACTTCATGAGCTTTGAGCAGAACTCTCTGCATCTGCTAACCTGAGTAGTATCTTTCTTCTTCTGTCTTGTTCTATTTTTTTTTATTACTTGTCAGTCAAAGTAGAGCAAGGGTCAGTGCTGGTCTACCAGAAGGAGTAGAAGATCAGACACTGAAAAATGGAGAAAATACGTATACTTTCACTTGCTTTCTGCCCATGGATAGGCAGTAAAGGGTGTTCCCTCTCTCAAAGCGATTTCTTCATTTGCTGCTTGATTTTTCTGCCCCCAATGTTCAGTTGCTGCCTGCTAGGAAATTCTCTGACTACACTGTTGCTAACATTATATTCATGATACCACCTCTTTCTATTAGCATGTAGAATTGAGAGCAGACTATACCTTTAACTCTGAGTTACATAGCTGCCAAGTAATTGCTTGCTTTATTAATTGTCTAGAATATTTTTTAAATTATGGATTGGCTTTCCTAAGCCACACAAATCATTTCTCAGGAGGTTTCACTGACCCTCGGTTGTTTTGTGCTGAATGAGACAGTTTATTTTTTCTTAAAATGACCACATACCCTGTGCTAAGTGCTATATCTCTTTAATTTCTCAACACAGCTTTACAAGGCAGGTACTTTCTGTATCATTCTTAAGGTACCAATAAGGAAACTGAGGCTTAGAGAGGTTAAGTAACATGCCTAAATCACTCAGCCAAGGAAGTGGAATTCATATCTGACTCCTGCATCTGCGTAGGCCAGAAATGGAGCATTTTAAAATGAAGGGGCTTATATGACATTTCCCTGCTTGTTATAATTCAAGTATCCTCTGTATACTTTGTGGCTTTTTCTTAAAAACAAAAACAAAAACAAAAACAAAAACAAAAACAAAAACAAAAAAACAAACAAAAAAAAACAACTTGCCATCTTGCCATTTCTGCCCATAGACTCAAACCTGGGTAGCCAGCTTTCCCTGTTCACCTCCACTTGGAGAGCAGCCGTCAGCATATCGCATCCACTTCATGTAGCAGCTTCTGTTGAAAGCCCCTTGGGGACTGCTGCAACCAAAACGCAGAAAAATGGTGGGAAAGATACTAACATTCCTACTGGATGCTACGAAAGGGCTTCTAAAAGTTCATGGAAAATTCACATTGCCTTTCAATTACTCTTCCTCAAACTTTTGGAAGTCCCTGTAATTGTTAGAAAGCCACCCATACAGAAATGACAGTTGTTTCATCTGCCTCATCTGGAAACATGGCCCCTTTACTAACCTGTGCTCTGCCATAATAGCACCTTAATGATTATGGAAAGCGCCTTTCTTTCAGGCACTCCCAAGTGCCTTGCAAGCACTTTGCTGATTAACTAGCTTACCATTTTTCTGTGGCAGCGGGAGGGAACAAGAGGGGTTGTCCTATTTAAAATGTGGGACTGCGCACACAGTGAGTGATTAAGCAGACTGCCCTCAGGCCTTTGCTGATAAGGCCAGGAACAGAGTCCTCTGGGGTTGGGATCCACCATGAGTAGATGACCACTAAATCTGCCAAGAGCTGCTGAAAGTGTTTACTCCAACTCCTGACTTACCGAAGGTGCAACAAACCCAGAGAAGCGAAAACACTTAGCCCACAGTCACCTGGATGATTAGTGGCAGAACCAATACTGCACGCACACAAACAACATACATATATGTGCTATGGAGGGAAAGATGACAACTGTGAAGAATCAATTTATAGTCTTATTAGAAGGGTGTGAAAGTAAAATGCCTTCATCAGTGACCTTGCTGGGAGGAAAAACACACTTAGAAGGTCAAAGTTTCAAATGGAGAGAACATTTTCGCATAGACGAAGCTTCAACTTCCTAGCAGCCAAAATACCATCTGGAACTTAAGGCATGCTTCCCATTAAAGGTGACAGGTGGACATGTTTTAAAAGATAGTTGGCTGGCCAGTCATAGCCTCTATAAATTGTACTGTAAGCACAAGGATAGCAAAGAGCAGCTGAGTTCCAAGCATGTTTACAGCTGACAAAAATGTTTCAACTAAAAATAACACACATGAATGTCTCTCTTAGGGAATCTCTCATTTCAAAAAAATGTTCCAATGTAAACAGTATGCATAGACTCAACTCTTTAGCAAATAGATTATTAGTTTGAGCCTCCGCTGGCTTCTCCTGTTGTAATCTAAAAGTAAAATTCTTCTCTTCTGACCCAGTGATCTTATGCACGATGCTGTCCCAACAGTGCGCTTCAAAACATATCCCTTTATGTTTTGAAACGCAACAAAAATATTTTCTGATGAGAAAGTTTTCTTAAAATGGATTATGAACATGAAGCACTTAACAATGAGCCTGGCACACAGTAAGTATTCCGTATCTGGTGGTGTGTCCAGTACCACCATCACCAGAACCCACAGAACCACTTTTGTGGAGGAAAACATAGAGACCTCATCCGGGCTTGTATTTTTAAACGGAAACTAAATCAAATTTGAGCAGTGATTCCTTACCCGATGTACAGTTCAGGTGTTGAAATATCACCCTCGGTCATTTCAGCAGCTTTGGGCTTTAGGCAAGGCTAGTGGAAGGTGTTGGAGAAGTACTTTCCTCTTTAAGATGGGTGCTTACCTTGGGTAGTTAATAATGGTGTGGGAGAAATGGACCAAACTCCACAATCTCACTGTCAAGAGCTCTTATCTCCTTGTCCATCTCACTGTCAAGAACTGAGAACAAACACTACAAATGAATTTTTAAGTAGTTATCCGAGGAGACACCACAGGCCTGAGAACTTTCCTTGGTGAATACCTCCTGTTGTCAGTCAGTGACTAAACTGAGTGTTCTTACTTTCACTTGATCATTAGATCTCATTAAGTTTCAAACCTAACCAGTCAGTGGAAAACTAAGAAAGTTTTCTGCCAACAAGATGAGAAAGAAGAAAATGACAAAAACTAGTTCAAAAATTGACCTAAGAGTTCAAAAAGTATATAGAACCATTTAATTGGGGGAGGAGGGCTTCTTGTTATAATAATACCATGCAAGAAATCCCTCACTGCTTTTGGTGGTCTGCAGAGTGGTTTCATGTGTGTTTTGTGTCAACCCCAGCACAGTGAGGTAAGGAGGACTGTGTGCCCACAGGCACCTAGCGATTGGTCAGAGCAGGCTGTAGTGCATTAATGCCTAGATTTGCACAGGACACCTGACTGACACCTCATCATGTTGCCCACCACCTGCTCATCCTCCACACCTGGGGAGACCAAGCTGTAGCCCAGTGCAAGCACTGCATATAGCCAGTTAAACCTTATTACATCGTAGGAGGACTTCTGCCCAAGAAAGAAGAAAAGTAAAATCTTCGCTCTTTTTTCAAAAAAATATTTATTTATTTATTTAAAGGCAGAGTTACAGAGAAGCAAAGTCAGAGAGAGAGAAGAGAGGTCTTCCATCCAATGATTCACTCTCCAAACAGCCACAATGGCCGAAACTGGGCCAATCCAAAGCCAGGAACTTCTTCCTGGTCTCCCACATGGGTGCAGGAGCCCAAGGACTTGGGCTGTCTTCCACTGCTTTCCCAGGCCATAGCAGAGAGCTGCATCGGAAATGGAGCAGCTGGGACTCCAGCCCTATGGTAGCAGCTTTAACTGTTACGCCACAGTACCAGTCCTGAAGGCATAGCTCTTAAAAACAACATACTCTTAAGTAGTCAAGTGTTTTCCAGATGTAGAATCTATATATGGGTGCATTTAATAGAATACCAGAAATGGGGACTGTTCCCAAAACACCAAGCTATAGACCAATATTCTCAGTGCCTGAAGATTCTAGAAAGCTCCATGTCTCCAGAGACCTCTCTTCTCTCTTATTGCTCATATTTGATAAAGAAAATGAGAAACATGGTTAAATCGATGATGACACTGAAAATGACTCCCTTAGAAAATAGCTCTCCCTTTTGCCACCCAGTGAATTGCCTTTGAGGACTTGGCAGGGTGGGTCATGAAGCGGGGGTGGGGGGTGGGGGGTAGGGGGTGGGGGGGTTTGGTAGTCCTCTGACAGAGACATTTTCTGGCATGAGGAAATGGATGGAATATTCTAGACTGACCTGGCATCACCTTTAAAGCAAAGTTTCTTTGAACATGAGAGTCCAGAAAGACCTGGATCTTTCCAATCAAGGGTGATCCACTGAACAATCAGGTCTTATTTTTTTTTTTAATTTTTTTTCTTTTTTGTTGTCTTGTTTTTCTGTTTCTCATTCTCCTTCCCTTGCTATGTCTCGCTCTGTCCTGCTTGCTGTCTCTTCCCACGTCCACAGGTGAGAAGCCCCACCAATGCAGCATCTGTTGGCGCTCCTTCTCCTTAAAGGATTACCTTATCAAGCACATGGTGACACACACAGGCGTGAGGGCCTACCAGTGTAGCATCTGCAACAAGCGCTTCACCCAGAAGAGCTCTCTCAATGTGCACATGCGCCTCCACCGGGGCGAGAAGTCCTACGAGTGCTACATCTGCAAGAAGAAGTTCTCTCACAAGACCCTCCTGGAGCGACACGTGGCCCTGCACAGCGCCAGCAACGGGACCCCTCCTGCAGGCACACCCCCGGGTGCCCGTGCTGGCCCCCCAGGTGTAGTGGCCTGCACGGAGGGCACCACTTACGTCTGCTCCGTCTGCCCAGCAAAGTTTGACCAAATCGAGCAGTTCAACGACCACATGAGGATGCATGTGTCTGACGGATAAGTAGTATCTTTTCTCTCTTTCTTATGAACAAAACAAAACGACAAAAAAAAAAAAAAAAAGAAACAAAAAAAGCTATGGCACTAGAATTTAAGAAATGTTTTGGTTTCGTTTTACTTTCTGTTTTTGTTTTTGTTTCGTTTCATTTTGTACTACATGAAGAACTGGTTTTTGCCTGCTGGTACATTACATTTCCTGAGGCTTGGGTGAATAATGGTTTTCCCAGCCTCCCTTGGATGGTGGCCTTAAGGCCTGGTAGTGCTTCAGGAGGTCCACTGGTTGGATCTCTAGCTACTGGCCTCTAAATACAACCCTTCTTTACAAAAAAATCTTTTAAAAAAGTAAAAAAAAAAATTTTTTTTTTCACTTGTGAAGAGCACTACAAAAGTATATAACAAAATCTAAAAGGCCTACTGTCTTTAAGTACACCGCTTGCAGTGTTTCAGTGGACATTTTCACAATTCTGGCCGCTTGGACTTCACAGTAATCAGTTAAAGCTGTGGAATATCACTTCTGGTCGAAAACCCAGAGGAAAGGCCCTGCTGTTCTCCACCGACCACGCTGTCTGATTTCGTAAAAGGGCTGTGGGAGTGGGAGGGAGCAGTGGGTTTGGTGATGTGGTAAAGAAAATGGAAGGGTAGGTTTCTTCCCCAGGTTCTGCCCGGGGCCACACACCCTGGCCCACCTTCTCCACATCCCCCCCTTGCAGCAGAAGCCAGGAAGACTCGGATGAGCAACAAGCAACAGTGGCTATCGTATTTATTCAGTGTCTTCGCTGAGCCACAGCCTCAGCACAATCAAGAGGGACTTTCATGAAAGGCAGGAATGCAGATAAAACAAAGATATCAGAGATTTGCACCTATGTTTCTAGGTACAAGAGAAGGATTATTTCCAACAATCTTTGCAAAAAAAAAAAAAAGCGTCAGGATATATTCTTGTGGAAGAGAAAAAGAAAGAGAAATGGAGGGTGGGGGGAATAATAAAAAAGTTCTTGAGGCTTTTTTAATTCAAAATTTTATAGAGGGGCAAAAGTGACGTTTACCAGATAGAATGCTGATTTTTTTAATATATTTACAACAGTATTTGTGTAAAAAAAAAACAAAAAAATGAGATGTTTAAAGTAATTTTTTCATTTTGGTTTTGCATACACTGCCACCAATCCCTTCTCTTATTTTATTTCACACACATATATATATTTTTTGGTAAGTCAAGACTGTTAAGGTTAGCGATACTGCTTCCAGATAGAAAGAATAAAAAGCAACTAAAGTTATATTTGAAAGAGAGGAAGGATATTTTCTTCATATTTTTTTTATTTTTCTTAATTTTTATTATTTTAAGTATTGCCTGGGTTGATGAGGGCCTCAATGGCCAGCCCATCCCTGCTGTAATTTGAACTGCTGCTTTGTATTTTGATATGTAGTTCTTTGACTTTTAGTAAGCTTAAGTTACTCCACTGAATATTTTTTTTAGCTGATCCATCTAGAGTTCTCTGTTCTTTTTCATGGGAGGGACTTTATCTTTCAGAAGCATATTTCTTGCTTCTCCAAAATTTCACAGAGATATGATTCTTCTAGAACTTCTATTGACTTTACTTTTTTTCTTTGAGGAAACACTAGTAGGCTAGAGGTCTTGACAATGGATTCTTTTCTTTGGTGTGAGACAGGAGGAGGAGTTGACAAACTCTGCCATACCTCCTCACCCTCCACAACTGCAGAGAGCATTGTGATGAGATGCCTGTTACAGACCAAGATGCATTGATGCCAAAATTACTTCCTTCCTTTCAGTTATCACCTTCTGACTACTTCCATCATAGTAAAGAGGGCTAAGTAAGATGATCATTCTGTAGATGATTTATTAACCCTTGCTTATTGGAAAGGCTTTAGGGAAATTCTCAAAAATTTCCCAGATGCCAACATCCACCATTCAAAAGGCCACCAATCTATTGCACCATCCCAGTTGCCACTCTCTCTTCCTAGTTGGGATTTCTCTCCTCGGTCCTGATCAAGACATTGAAATAGAGATTTTCCTTTATAGACAGTGTCCAGAAGGAATTCCAACTCAAGTAGAGGGATTCATAAGCCTAACTAAACCTTCAAAAGTGATTTCATTGTTGGGCATGTGTTAACACACTTCAGGGAAAAGTAAACCTTTCAACAAAGCAGAAACACCAAACTATAATTTTGAAGAAATGAAGAAAAGAAAGTTTCAAAATTACTTTACATTTTAATTTAATTTTCCTTCTACTTTTCCTGTACTTATTTTATTTACAAAAACCATGCAGCCAACAAGGGAAAATCTTCCAAGGCACGCAACTCTATAATGACTAAATTGGTTTCATTCATATATTTTAGTCATTTGGTTAACTTGGATCTTTTCCATTAGTTTTCTGTGATGTTTAATGGAGTTCATGCAACTGGAGTATTTCTGAGTTTGATTTGTTTCTACAGTGCTTGATTCTGTGGATATTCTGCTAGAAGTTTTCATGTAAATTTGGATGGTTAACTGACTGTTGAGTATCACTCATTTTGATTTCTAAAATTAATCCTACCAAGAACTCTGTGTTTAAAACCGACTTGTTTTAAAAGTAGGTGAGAAACAGCTTCAGAAAAAGTCCATTTTTTTCTAATACTAATTTTGCTTTTCTAGATGTCAGTGTCAAGACTCCAATATTCACTTACTACCAATAGAGGGAGCATTAGTTAATTATGTCATCGAATTGTTTGGATATTTTGAAAACTAAAAAAGAAAGATTGTCACATAAAAGGAAGATATTTTAATCTAGAAGAAAATGATATGAAATCACTCAGCATATATTACAAATGAAAGAAGGCCAAAAGCTACTTTAAAATATTTTCAGCTCTTTGACAGTAGCAAGTTTAAAATAGCATCTTTATTCAAAATTTAGCAAAGTAAGCATAACTCATAATTACCTCCAGAAAATTTGATTTTGAATGTCATTATGGACCATATTTAGCTACCTGCTTCCCAAATCTAAAGGAGACCCATTTGCCATAATGCTAGATTGTCATGTGAAAGAAAGCATGACATGTCATGCTAAGCAATTGGGTTGAAATCCACTTTTTCTTGTAGAACATATAAACTACTGGTGACTTGAAACCCTGGTATTTGTCCTTTCTGTAGAGGAACTATTTCTTCAAGATAGCAACAACAAAGTTGGAGGGTCCCTAAAATCTTGGTGAGCTAATACAATCATTGTCAGCCATTACAAACCAAACTATCCATGTTTGCATAGCAGTAGATCTGTTCCTACTGTGTGCCCATTTCTCCGAAAGACCTCACAGCCAAACGTTGATGGGTTATTCTCTGGAGACAGGCAGGTGCTGGATTGGAGTAGGAGCTCCAAATAGGGGGAGCTAGGAAGTTTTTGCGAGGCTTTTGTTACATGTCTGATTTCTGAAAAGGCTGCTTTGCAAACTGACCCACATTTCAGAAAGTCAACCAGTCTGTACCTATTTCAGAAGGATAGAAATACATTTCAATTTCCAGCCTCCAATCACAATGGAACAATCACAAGCATCTTAGGAGACAGAGAAACGGAGTTTGCTTCAGGATCAGATAATGAGTATTGACAATTTTTTTGTTGGGGGGGGGAGTTGAATCTTACAATCTTCTTGCATTTATACCCTCATGCTAGGATGCCGTTAGTGCTATTTAAGTAATTCTTTCCAGTAGGATAAAGATAAGATAGAAGCAAATGTTCCAGATTTCATACCACTTAGGATGAGTATAGGGAATTAGAACTGGTATGGAAAATAACAGATTTTTAGCAATTTATCACTTAGAAATGGAATTTACTGAAGAAAGAAGAAAGTCAAAGAGGAATGTTTGTCTCAAGACACTTAGCTACAGTTTATGAAAAGTAAAGTTTCCTAGCACTAAAAATATTTATAATGTCTCAGCACAGTGGGCAGTTTCCCCCTATTAAATGCCAATATGTATAGAAAATTGAGCCACCAAATATGTACAATATAAAACAGAAAGGAAATGGATCACATGGATGGGATACAAATCTATACATGGGGAAAGATTGAGAAATAAGCTAGGCCAAAAAAAAATCTGAAATGAAATTTCTGTATTCAAGTGCTCTTTATTACATACATTTTTATTGAGTTGTTACCTTCAGATCCTAATAACAGCTTCATAGACGGTTTCCTCCCCAATTTCTTAATGCTTTGAGCCTGTGCCATGAGTAAGCCACGTGGATAATTCCCAGTTGACGTTCTAACTGCAGGCCATTTCTTCCTTCTTATCCTCTTGGAGGTCAAAGTTGCTCTTGGCCACAGAAAGACTTGGGTTTGGTTTGCTTAAAAGTCAGAGAGGTTTTATTCTGTATCATCACAGTATTCTAGAAGGACCAAGAAAAACCCTTTCCAACCTCTGAACAGCAAGAATTTCTGCATTTTGGTCGTGAAGCGAGAGAAAATCTCCTTTGGGTGTGTGGGTTTCAAACTAAGTTTTAACGCCTTGACCATATGTACTGCCATCACACCAGCCCACCCGCAGTACATGTCCTGCCCATGGCCCAAATCAGTATTTCCTCTCATCACAGAAGTTAAAAATGAGGTGTGCCCCTTAGAAAAATCCCCCAGATCCCAAGAGAACGTTGTAAAGGCTCCTGTTGCTCTCTTACTGGGCCTCTTCCATAACACCCCTCCTATTGCCCTTAGCAAACGAGGAAGGTGGTATATCTGGACATTCTGGAGCCTTCCTCTGGGGTTAAAACATGGTGGTAATTCGTTGGGGCTGGGAGCCAAGGGATAGGACTATATGCACCTGCAGGAAATTATCAGCTCATCAATTCAGGTCTGCCTCTGATAGCCAGTGCAAGGTAACCGCACATAGGGCCTGAGATGCCCTGGGGATTTAGAACTGGGAACTGTTCCTTCTTTTGTGACTTAACTCTTAAAAGAAATCTTCTAAAAGAATTCTTTAATTTAGAAAGAAACTGAAGTCCGGGGTTATAGATGCTCTGGGGAAGAGAATATAAAAATGGCAAAAATGTGTTCAGCCACCCAACAATGCTAAACCGAAAACCATCCAATTGTTAAAATAGGAAATTTGGCACAAGGCATTTAGAGACATCTCTGGGCTTTTCCAGGGGTAGGGTCCACAGACTTTTTTTTTTTTTTTTTTGAGTGATTTCTGGCTCTGAGAAACCTCTTTACTCATTAGGAAAGAACTTTATTTAAATGGCTGGTTTTGTCCCCTAGAAAAAGAAATTAAAAAAAAAGGCAAAAAGGAAAGAAAAATAGGACACTAAAGACAGGACCATGTGACGTGGTGACAAACCAAAGGAAGGGTACACTAGAATTTCAATGAACTCCCTAACTCCATAGAGAAAACAAGGAAGCAACCCTATGCCTCCCTGTGCCTCACTTTCAGCCTGCAGTGAGTGCAGTGAGCTGGCCCAGCCACAGGGTGACTCAGAATTTCCCACCTGGGACAGTATGACCTCTTTCTCCTCTGTATCTTCATAACGAAAAGGGCTGTCCTCTTAGTCACCTAGAAAAGACTAAGTGGGGGCAGACCTTCAAAATCAATCTCTAGCCCACTGTTCAGGCTGCACAGGGAGGCAGAAAGCAGACACAGGAGCTCTGACTCTTGCCAGAGAATGTCTTTCATATTCCCAAGAGCTCTCTGTGGAATCATCATTTCTGGCACCACTTCTCACTCCACAACAGGCGGGGCTGAGCCACTGAGTGTCCCTGGAAATGCAGAACGTGCGAGTTTCCAGCCCAAAGCCTCATTTCTAGCACCAGGATCAAGACCCTCCTCGGCCCAGCTAAGATGCCAGCAGATTTCCCTCGGTCTCTAAGGCACTTTGCTCGTAGAGCGGTGACTCTAGCAGCTGGTGTGGGCAGGAGCACATTTTGGGGAAAGTCTATGGAGCCGTATGACCTGCGTCCATTCCTTTTAGGAGGTAGATGATGAGGGCTGTGGAACATGAGTTCCTTTTTCCTTTGGATGAATTTCCTCTGAACTAAGTGAAGGGTAGCCCCTTACCTGAGTTGAAAGAAGGAACCTCATCTTTCTACTTCACTGGCTGAAACACCTGCCATTCCTGCAGTCGCTTCAGGCTCTGCCTGCTGCTTTGTCAAAAGAATCGTTTCAGACTGAAATGTAATCGGAAGTGCTCTCTGTTAAAGTCTTTTCACAAGCAGCAACTTAGGGTGTAGAATCATTGCCTTAACTCAGAAAGCCCAGGAAGAGGACAGAGGCTGGGAACAAATGGGCATTTCCTGCTTTTAAAGAGTTGCCTGTTCACAAGGGGAGCTCTGTTCCTGACCGAGGCCTGGAGAAACAGGAGGCAGCAGTCTTGTCTCAAAGTGGCTGCTCTGTCCTATCTGTTCTGTTTCATCGTGCTGGATCTAGGCTGAATGTAAAGTAGGCATCGTATCACTAAAGAGAAAAGCCCATACAGTGTAATCACAGGTGCCTGGGATGCCCGTTTTAAACATTTCCTTAGTAGGGAGAAGTAATCCCAACAAAAAGCTTTATTTCCCTAGATAGTATCAATCTCTGTAGGTTTTCTCCTGCAGTTTTAGTGAGTATCTGGTTTATTTGGTGGCTCTTTATTGAAATGCAAAGTCAGAACTTTCAAGTCTTTGCTGAAGGGGCATCCTCTGCAGATCTGAGGCGAAATCCAGCCAAAACTATGGGAGTTCCAGCTTCTGGGATATGTAGGTAGGATCTGAGAGTCTTTCCTTTTAAAATCTGAGGCTTCCTTGGTTCAGAATGCCTCAGTGAGATACTGATACACCAAGACAGACAAAAAGTTTAACTCCATAGAAGGCGTCTATTGCTACTACTGTGCCAACAGTTGTTACTGTCCAGCAGTCATTGCAATTTACATGTAAATTCTAGTGCTGAAAGGGTCACCACCCATCCAGTGTGTCACAGTTACTATCCAAAATGTGTGCAAATGAGTGTGCATCATACATGTGCATAGGCAGTGCAATGTGAGGTGCTCACAGTGCAAAACTCTTCCACACTCGTATTCCCTAGTGTCAACAAGAGAGGTTTGGGGATTTCCAGTTAGGAGTCAGAGGTCTGACTTATGTCCCATATCTTCATCTACTCTGTGGCCTTAGTCAGCAGCATCATTATCTGTGATAAGGCTGCGAGCATGCTGAAAGAGCCCAACCATCAGTCCCTCCTACGTATCTCCTTCATGGGAAATTTGAACAAGCCTGTGTGAGTCGAGTGCATCTATCACACTTTACACTTCTCCTGGATTTACTGACAAGCGTGTGCGTGTGTGTATTTGTGGGTGTATTTGTTGTCGTCTGAGAATGTGTGTGCCTCTCAAAGGAAGCACACACAAGCAGAGGTCCTGGTGCGTAGATTCACTTGCCTCTCTCCATCATTGCGCTCAAGACTTGTGGCTTCCTTCCCAGGAAGCAGTCACCTGCCCACTCTGTTGCTTTTTGTAGCATTTCAGAGTTGGGAGAAACAAAGGCAGCTTGTTGGATCCACAGCAAACCCACAGGGCCAGGCTGTTTTCCTCCGGAAGAAGGTAGAACAGAAGTACTCAGCTGGCAAGCAGACTCGAGGGAGCAGCAGTCTGGGACACTCCACCAGGTCCCCTAGTGGGGGGCAGGGGGCACAGGGGCCAGGCAGGCGAGGCTCACAGACTTTGACCTGAGCCACCCTGGAGCTCTGTTCCTTCCCAGTCTGAAATCCGGTGCGTGCACACACTTATACACACACACAAACCCCTTTGTGAGTTTTATTCCCAAATGAAAGCTTCCTAATGCTGCCTGCATCCGCAGGGCATCATCTCCATTCACGAATTGTGTCTCCTGAAACCAGTGTGGCCTTTGCCGAAGTCTTTCCAAGAGTGGGTTGTTTACCATGTCTAGCAAACCAATAGACTGTCAGGGGATTTTTTTTTTTTGGCAATCTGTAAGAATTGGTGGCTCTTGCTTTTCTCAAGCACTAAAGTACAATGCCACTCTAGCATAAAATACCCAATGAACGGACCTGGCTCTCATAGCTGACTCAAGGCTTGGTGGCCTGGAAACTGTCAGCTTCAGTGTTCTCACTCCCGTACACTTCTTTTACTAGATGGTTTATTATTTTTATGACATGTAGGTTATTTCTGCTTTACAGAATTCAGAGGACATTTTTCTTTCCTCTCCTATTTTGGTGACTTTTCCTCCCTCCCCTGTTAAGTAAGGCTACTTACAGTTGCACCTTTTTTGTGGCTATTATTTTTCAAAGTGTATATTGTCTTTCTATATCCAAAAGAAGTCTGTGACTGTAACAATAGGTATTTCTTTTTACTGGAAAAATGACTTTTGGTTTTGTTTTTTGTTTTTTTTTTGTTTTTGTTTTTATTAACAGTGCTAGTGACTTTGTGGAAGAATATGAGTTACTATTTAGGTATGCTTACTTAAATACAGTACACTACATTGCAGTATTTCCGAAACCTAGAACATACACATTATATATAACAACTCTATATTGAAGTATATATTACATTATATTCATTTTAACTGTTGAATCTGCCTATGATCATAAGTTGATTGAAATATTATTTCTTTGCATATATCACCCATCACCAACCTGCTGCAGTTAATCTGGTGCATTTAATAATAATCATTACTGCTCTAGTTTGCTTTTTATATTATCAGCTTCAGTATTGTCTTTAGAGGATTTTAGAGGTTTTTTTTTTTTGTTTAAGCTCAGACTTAGCAAATGTAGGAAAGTGAAAACTTTTTTTAAACTTTATTCTTGGTGTGGCTAATACAAAGAAGTTCATATTCAAAGTGATCTTGTTTAGCTGACCCTCTCAATATCTGAAGAACAAAAGAAGTGCATATGAATGTATCTGTGATTTTCCCCTCCAGGACTGTCACTGTCTATATTTGCTTCTAAAAACATGACCAAGGGGCTGCTTAACCTCCAGCTAATCTGACCAGATAGTCACCAGGCTGTACTTCAAAGGGCCGCTCCTCTGAAAAACGTAATTCAGTGAAATGCCTCGTTTTCCCAACTGTGTTTCCAAACGTTGATTTTCATACTGATTCTTGACTGGCTACTTTCTGTTTTCAATATGCTTACAGTTATTTTCATGAGTCTTCAACATTTCCCTGGAGGCAGTTTGGCAATGGAGAATACATTTTCCTAGGAGATTTAAAAAAAAAAAAAAAAAAAACCCTAACTAAAATCAGAGTTTGAGCATCGTTTTGTTGACAGAGGTTCATAAAGACAGAACTCAGAAATAAGTATCATGGTTTTCAGTTGGTAAAGCCTATGGAAGGGTAGCTCTGGGGTATCTGGCCCTCAGTCTCCCCACTTGTGTGCTAAGTGGGGATTTGGTGCCTTTCCTCTTTAATGAGGCCAACATGGGACTTTCAGAAACCAGGCATCCAATCGTCCTACCCAAGAAATACTTTCAGGTACTATTTGCAGATAAAGAGTTTCAGCAGCTTCCCTCAGCTAGTAAGCCCAATGCCTGCAAAACCTCTTGGTTAGATAAACTCGTTTTCTATCCTGGGTGCCTAAAACCAGTCTCACTGTCTTGGTCCTCTATTCAGGACACAGTGAAAGCAGCTTTTCGTAAACTTCAGCGTGGAAGACCTTTCCACACTGGACCAAAATTACGGCCCCGCAGGGTGAAGACCGCATTTCCTTCCTTCATCTTTACTGACAGGTTTTGAGTTTCTGATCCCATCCCATTTTGCTGTGCCTCTTCAGGAAGTCTCTGACCCACAGCCCACCCCTCCACATTCTCCTCAGCACCCTCCAGGGGTGAGGCCCCGCACGCACTGAGGCACTCCCCACCCTTGGCCTGTGTCCAAGGGTCAGTGTTGAGTCCCATAGCAAACTTACCAATCTTCTCTCCAGAGTTTTTACCCACATCTATTTCTACTACACAGATGTGACTGTCAAGTGAATACTGCGAGAGATTCTTCCTTCCCCAGTCATCACGTAATATCCAAATTGTATCAACTTCATTATTTTCCTCTTTCCTTCTCCTAACCAGTTTCTTTTAGTTCTTACTTCTCTTTAAGACAACTTTGAATTACTTCGTCTTCTCATCACCCCAGAACTCAAATATTAAATTATCACCCCTGACTGTCCATTTATCTGCCTTCCCTCCACCATTTCTGAATGTCCTCCTTTGAGGAGCACTAAAGACTTCATCAACTTGAGGCTTGTAGGCAAAGTGAAGCATGTCTTCCTGTTAGCTGCTGATTTTGAAAGTTATCAATATGCTTTTGAGTGTGGGAGGATCTGCGTCCCAGTTTTAAATGTCATCTGTGCTAGCTGAGATCATCAATGTTTCTCACCTTCACATTTGACCAAAGATAGAGAAAAGTATTTTCCGAGGCTTTGGTTGTGTTTTTTTTTTTTTTTTTTTAAATACCACAGTGTTCAAGTTCTTGATATGAGTAGATCATTTCTGAAGGAGATAAGAAAATGACTAATGTCAGCAATGTCACCTCCTTCCAATATTTACCTGAGCGGCATGTTTACCAGACACTAAGTTGATAGGAAACTTGAAGAGTAGTAAATTTTCAAAGTAACTTTGGTAACTGCTAAAGCCTTAATGATCTCTTCTCAAACAAGTAAAGTCACTTAGACAAATGGTAGGACAAATTAGCAAGAATTTCTTCCTTTATTACCTTTTTGAGAAAATAATTATTGATTGGTTTAGAATTTTGAGCAGTAATTTACTAAGGTCTGAAGAGATTCATAAAATTTCTAAAGTGGCCATTTTGCAACAAGACATTGATTACACATAAATTTAATATGTGCTTCAGTAAAACAAGGCTGAATGGATACCTACAGGGCTGTACAGCACACTGCCCAGTATCTAAATACTCATTATTTAATTTGGTCATCAGGTTAGATCTCATTCCAATGAATTATAACCATCTGGTGCCAGAGCATTGCCCAAAAGACTAGTAGTATTCTGGGGTCTAACCCTTTCAGGATGCCTGTAATACCATCTTCCCAACAGCTCTGTAATGTAATCTTTCCTGACTTTGGTCCAATGCTCTTGACTTGATACCATATTGCCTCTTTTCTCATGCAAAGACATATTCTGTGAATCTAGAGTACTTCCTAGTTTTGAGAATGCAGAGGGTGTCCTTTCAGTTCTTGTTTTACCCATTGAGAAGCAGAATCAGCATTTAATATCAGAAATGTATTATTATTTGATTTGGGGCTTGATCCAAGTTTTATCTTAAACCAATTTGTATCATGCAGTCACACCATAAGGAGCAATGAAGTAAATAGAAGGTTCAAAAGCCTTCCTGGGACATGCATCTAGTAAGAACCTACATTTCCTAAAGCCTGCATTTGCTTTGCTTAGGGACCTGATCTTCTCTGGGCACACAGGCACATCCTGGTCAAGCCCATCTACTTCTGTTCCTTTGTCCACTCTGACTACTTTTAAAAGTAGTCGAAAGTCTTCTCAGTCATTGGCTTCAGAAGGAATAAATGACTCTCTTTTAAATCTTTAAATACTATCCTTTAAAATAGAATGAAGTAGGAGAGGTTCTCTTTCTGATAGACCCCATTTGGTCCAATTAATCTAGGATGCCTTCTTGAAAGTGTTCCTTTAAGTTTCCCAAGAAGAGTTCTGACCCTGAGACCCACGATTGACCACCACAACCTCTGTGTTTCTTATTGTCAAGTTTATGTTCAAATCCTATTTCATATTCTAGAGACTTCAGAGTATGAATTTCTCATTGCTCTGAGCCACCTGTTTTCCCAAGCTGATACCTATCAGGAGCATCAGTGCCCTAATGATAACTAATGCAGCAAAATAATGGTCAGAAACACTAGAATATATATTTGGGAGGATAGGAAGGGATTTTTTTTCTTTTTTTCCCTGTAAGTAGCTTGTTTCCCCTCCCTGGCCCTCCACAATGCATTTCAGAAAGTCTGCATCTCATTTTACAGATACGTAGTTTTAGGATTTGCAAATATAGTTTAGGGAATGTTCTGAGATTGAGGCTGGTAGCAAACAAGTTTATTTTCTGCACTGAACGTGAGGACAAGTGTGCACAGATGCAATTCCTTCAAAGAAAGTGAAACACGGCAAGGCAAATGGATGATACTTTTACACATTAAAACAGTTGTTTGCTATCTATAAACCTTGATTTAAGCATAATTATTACTCTTTAGAAATCTGAAACTGGAGGAATGTGTATTTTAGTAAAGTTTGTTTGTTTATTTTCCTTCATGTCTTTCTTGTCAAGATAGTCCGTGCTTGTGATTCTTTATGTGATGCTGTGTATGGGCAGTCAGATCACTGCCCGCCCTTAGCCGTCATCCTTTCCCTCTTCATAAGAAATGCCTTCCATCTGACCATCCAGGAGTCTTTTTTTCTCCTCGAAAATCTTATCTTCCTCTACTAAGCACTAGGGAGCTTTGAGGAGAGAAATTCTCTCTGCACTCTGAGGATACAGCATTCAAAATAAAAACTATTGCTTGAGACAACAATCCTATCTACCTAAGTAACAGATCTGCGGACAAAAGATGCGAATTGATTACAGATGGTCATGCATTTTACACTATGAATCTTTATTGTCCCCCAAGTCCTTTTTGGAATAAGACCGGGAATAAATTAATTTAATTTAATTTCTCTTTTGGCCTTTCTTATTAATAGCTAGTGCAGACTATCCAGAAAAGAAAAAGAGGGGATGATACTGCAGTGGCAAAGTCAATCCCTGTGTGGATTTCTGTAATCACATGGATTTCTCTTCTATTCAAGACTGTGTGTTCTAATGAGATATTACATAGAGAAATATCCACTTCTGCATTGCTTGTCCTCTCCCCAACCTGGTCCCTGGAGATGATTGGAGAACAGGGAAATGGGTCCTGATTTTTGATCACTTCGTCCAACCACCCTTCCACCATCACAAAAGAAAGAAAAACAGGATTAGAAACTGGAAAAGAACAAAAAAATCACAGTAATTTCATTTGGAAGTATACTGTTTTCAACTCAATTCAATTTACAGATAGCCTGACAACCTTTTCACAACCTGTTTTTTTATGCTGCAACTTACATTCTTGGCTTGGTCTTTAAAATAATTGCAATTTCAATTAGATGAAGAGAGGAAAAGCACAGAGGGGGAACCGTCCGTTCTCAGCATTACCAGAGAACATTAACACCCACCTCCCCTGACATTCTTGCCCATGTATCATTACAGCTCCAAGAATTAGTAAGATAACTATACCTCTGTGAGTTAAGACTTCTCTTAGAATTATCAAACCCATCTAAAGAAATTGTAGAAACCCTTGACTGCTTCCACACCTCATCTACTCACCAAGGCACATGAGAGTGTACAGAAAGATAACAGAAAATAACATAATGGTTCAAATTGGAGATGAGATTTTGCTATAGTCTAAAGTGCTTTGTGTATGTTCAGAGCTAGGGGGATCTTACAAAAACAAAGCTAGGTACTTGGTTCTTATTCTTCTTGGAACACACCTTGATTTGGAATCAGCTGTAGATTTTTAGAAGATTCTCGAAGGTATTTTCTACAATTCAGCTTCTTCCTTAGTCACATTGATTTGAATGTTGTTTTCCTGAGAGGCCTATTGAGACATAAATTTACAGTAAATTGAGTCTATCTAATTTAAAGTGCTTTTTGTACTTTTGTTGAAAGAACTGTGGTTTTCAGAGTCAATGAGAGCAAAGTCTCTCTTAATAATCCTCATCATATAGCAAACACAGGTGAAAAGTTGATATGATAGGGAAAATCCTGGGTAAATTCACACTTTAAAGTCTTTTGGGTGTGCTGACCCCACTATGCCAAACTTTGTTCCCACAATCTGTTCTGAACTGATTCACCAGAGACTGCCAGTTGGCATGTGTGGGTACAAGCATTTACATTCCAGAAAGTGAAGATATAGGCAAACTAAAGAGACAGATTCTTGAGGATTATTATTTCTGCAGAATTACTCAGTTTTACCACATCCCAAACTAATTCCAGTTTCATCTTAAACAAGAAGTAAGCTCCATAAGCAGTCCTACCATGAATGTGTTCTCTCACTGACTAACACAAGAGGTACAATGCAGACTCTGACGTTTGGTGTAACCATTTACTTTTATATATAATAATTGTACTTTTGTGTGAGTGTGTCATTAAGCTATTTATACCAATTTCAAACTACCATTCTGAGAGGGGCCTTGAGAATTTCTGTGTTTGTGTGTGTGTGTATATATATATTTATATATATATATATATATCTGTTTTATGTGTAGTCAGGAGAAAAAGTGACAAAAGAGAGGAGTGAAGTGAGGGAAGAGTGGTGGCAGTGCAGTGAGTGCTCCAGGGTCCCTACTCTTGTCATGTCAGGTGGCTGCTGCCTGTTGCCCTAGAGGAATAGTTGATTACACTATTCAAAGATAAGAATCCAGCACTGTTAGATTTAGGACCCTGTTTTGGGAAACAGAAAAGCTTTATGTTTTTCTGTACCCATTCCCCTTAGCATTGGAGCCATTTGTCATGATGAAAACCATTAAGTAAAAACCACTACTGATCTTTGCATTAAACAGCTATTTTCCTCTTCTAAATAACACCCCTGATTGCAACTCGACTACTTCCCTTTATTTTCTGCCTATTTAGCATAATGTTTTGCAGAATAATACATAGGTGCATGCTAGTTGTTTCTCTCCTTTGAGCTGAAACAAACAGGGGTGACAGAAGAAATGACTCACAGAACTGTGAGGTGAAGATTGAATTTCCCCCTTTTGTAGCACTGGTAACCTTTACTAAGAGCTGTTTAAGGTTGAGCTTTGAGTCTGTAATAGGGCTTTTTTTTTTTTTTTTTTTTTTTTTTTTTGCACTAAGTATGACTGCACTGCATTGCACTACTGAAATGTATTTACTTGTGCCGGGAGAGAGTGTTTTCGATATGGGAAAGAAAGAGGCAAGTTATGAAACTAGGAGCATCACAAACTAGAGGGGTATTTCCATTGAGCTTAGTCTTAGCAGAGTGGGTGAGAGTCTCCAGCTCTAGACCAGTCTAGAAACTGCCATGCTAACAGGATCTGTTTTCTTATTGTAAAGAAACTGAATTAGTGCAACAAATTGAGGACATTCAAGAAGTTGACCCAACCTATGTTCTTTCCAATGAAGCTTTCAGTAAGAGTTGTGATAAAGAGGGAGCCAGCTGGTAGGGTGTAGATGTCTTCACCTTGGCCTACACCATCAAGCCCCTTGCTGGTGCACTTTTCAGTGTGGCAGAGGGCAGTAGTCTGTACCCCTTTTAGAATCACATAGCTTTGTCCATATTGGAAATATCTTTTAAGCCTGAGCATGTTTTCCATCCCAGAGTGAAACCTAGATCAGGCTAACCAAAGAGGAAGGCCATGCATGTGGTAAAGTCCTTTCAGAGGACAGTAAGGGAACAGTGCAATAAACACTGAAAGCCAGTGAGGTGAAAGGCTTCCTTTGAAACAAACAAGGCCACCTTTGAAATTGGAGGAAAGGTCGGAGGATTGATTAGAACCTGCTCACTGCTCCATCATAGACTGTCCTTATTAACCAGAATACCATAACAGTGCCTACAAGTCTACATTTGAAGTTGTTTTTCCCCCTAACTTCTTTGTTGGATTCAGGTTTTTTTTTACTGCCTTTATTCATCTGAGAAGTGATCAGGGTTTGACAGCTCTTTAGCAACTGTTAATAAAAGAATCTTGCACCACAGGAAAAGCAATAGATTGTGTGGGAATAATAACACAAGAGTGAAGATGCTGAGAGACTCTTCCAGAATCTAAGGTGACAGCTTTGAAAATTCTGATTTGGTAAAAAAGGATCACAACCCTTAGAAATAGCTAATGTTGACTTTTTCTGAACACTATCACGTGGATTTGGAAAATTGTCAGTTGAGGCCTCTCTCTGAAGATTGTAACATTCATATGTATCTCCTTCTCTCACCTCCTTAACATCTGTCCAAGTCTACTAGTCTAAGTTAAAAAAAATTTTAAGGAAGTCATTAACCTTCTAGTTTGACAAATGCCATTTAGAATTTTCAGAACTAACACAACCCCTCTAGCACTCAAAAGCATTATCTCCACTTTAAATAAACAACTAAATATACAGCTCTAACAGTCCTTAGCTATGTGTCTTGGGTAAGAGGTCATTGACTACATCAAACCAAAGCTATAGAAAGAAATGATTGCCCCTTTAAAATAAGCTCACAGTAACCATCCTAGGAGACTTCTTTTGAGGCTTTGGAGTTGGGGGAGGGCAGCTGTTTTCTGGAAATTTGCATGCCTACTCCAGCTCTGTCACCAAAGATTTTCGATCTCCAGGGCCCAACTTCCACTCTCTCAAACAAAAGTGCTATAACAGGATCAAGGGATATGGTTTTGGTTTCAGCAGTCAAGAGTTGACACTCTGGTTTTCCTTCTGTTCACAGCAGTATTTCCAGGAGACCTTGCTATTAGAGGAGCTGTTGAACTATCTGTATGACTTAGGGTTTTGTCAGATGTTTGAAAAATAGGGGAAAAAATACACAGCAGTATTTGACACTGCAAATTATCTTTAATGGATTTGACCTGGAGACTGATGGAGAGAAAGAAACTTCCATGGAAGAGAGTGAGCTAAACCATTTAGAACCAAACAGGGATCATTGGTGAATTATGGGGCAGCATGCACACAAGTGCAGATCAGGGTTCTGAGTGGCCAAAGCTAACAGCAATGGCTGGAGGGGAGTCAGACATGTCTTCTAGCCAGTGATCCAAGACTAGAAAAAGCCACAGTCTGGGTTTCGTTGTGCTTGCTGGAGTGGATGAAATGCCCATGTTCATGGCAAGGAAAATGCTTGGAGGCTGACCTGTTGTGATAGTGCCTTTCTTGTTATAGTGAGTGCTAATTTAATAATTTATTCAGTTATGCTTTTCTGGACCATTGCCCCCAGTCTTCTGAAGAGGTCGAAGGGATAGCATCCCCTTAGGTTGATGGGATAGGATATTGCTCCTGGAATGCTGTGATTTGATGATATTTGCACTAGATTCTAAACTCTCCTTTAAACTGGAGCAAACTGAATCAGAGAAAAACCAAGGACAGCTCAAAGTTAAAAGAAACCAAATGCAGTATTCTCTAATGCCATTTCTTTTTATTCTTTTCTTCTTTCTTTTTTTAAATATTTCTTTATGAATTTGAAAGGCAGAGTTACAGAGAGGAGGATTGGGGGGAGAGATGGAGAGAGCAATCTTCCATCTGCTGGTTCACTCCCCAGATGGCCAAAATGGACAGAGCTGGGCATATCCAAAGCCAGAAGCCAGGAGCTTCTTCCATGTCTCCAATGTGGGTGCAGGGGCCCAAGCACTTGGGCCACCTTCCACTGCTTTCCCAGATGCATTAGCAGAGAGCTAGACTGGAAGAGGAGCAGCCAGGACTCAAACTAGTGCCCATGTGGGATGCTGATGCTACAGCACCAGCCCCTCTTTTTTTCTGAAAGAATACTTTACATTTGTTGGTTATCAAGTTCAATTCTTACCAGTTCTTTTCCTTCAGTTTTTCTTCCATGCTGAACCATCAGTGTGACTTAAACATCGATCAGGGAGAGTTAATGTAAAGAGCCTCTGCCATCTCTGCCTCCTCAAGGGTACCTAACCATGCACAGTGGGGGTGAGGACCCTCCAGAGCCACCCACCTGTTACAGAGGCCACTAAACGACCCTATCACTTAGAGAGCTGAACTGACACACATTTAGACAGAGGATACCTGTAGCTCACCCAAAAGGTTGCTCAGAAAAGAGAAGGGAAGGAATGTGTTGAAGAAATCAAAGGGAGGTGGCACCCAAAGTTTGTCTCTCTCTCCTCTTTCTTCTCTCTCTTTATATTTCATCTCATATGTATTACCAGAAAAATCATCTGGTTCCTTGGTTTCTCTCTTTGATCAGTGGGCTGGGAACTCCTCCAAAATGAAAAAACAAGTACCACAGCAGCTCCCCTGTGCCAGCAGTTTCTCAGACGCTCTGCACCGGTGTTGACCGGTCATCTAAGATAACTTGGAAGCTCTGGCTGCCTCAGCCACCTGTCCACTTGATTCTCATTTTGTTTCCATTTCCATTTGAATTTTGAGTGAGGCAAAAGAAAGGTGGAAATCCTGGGGAAGGTTTGGAGGCTGCAATTCTAGGGCATAGCTTTTCAGGAGTTTATATGATCCATAATATGTCCTTCTACACCCGTTTTCAGTTTAATCAATTGCCTTGATTTTAGTTTCTATTGCATTTGTGGCTATTTTTTATAAGAATTTAGTCCATTTCCTGTATCTATTTGAGTTCTTTTTCTATTTTTCCCACATGGATGCAGTACCAACCTGTTAATGAAATATCCTTTTAGTATATTATTAATATGTAATTCTACTGTAGACCAAAAATATAAAAACAAATTTGTTCATTTTAAAAATATAAAGAACTAGTGAGTACAAGATTCAGAGTTGAAGGAAAAGACAGAAGAGCAGTGATTAGCTATGTTGAGTTAGAAATCTGAGAGTAGCCTTACCTATTTTTAAACCAGTGCTTGCCAATTGTACTATAGTTGGGATTATATTATCTTGGCTCCTTCATGCTTATGTCCTATAATTCTTGTTTGTTTGTTTTCTTTGATGTAATTGAGGTTGCACATCATGCTATTTTTGGCAATGCCTGATTTTATTATATTGTACTTTTATCAGTCATTTCCTTTAGAAGGATGGGGGAAAAGTTTTATTTCTTTTTTTAATTTAAAATTTGTTTAATGCACTGGAAATAAGATTGGACACATTTCACTGTTTAAAAATCAGAAACAAAACAAAACAAATACCACAAAGAAAAAAACCAGCAAGCAAGGAAGGAACAGGAGAAAAAGGGTATGAAAAAAAATTCATGTGTACTGAATACACTGTACAGACTACAACCCACCTGAAAGATGAATATCATCAAGTGAGAAAGATAAATAACTTAAGCAACAATGATGAAAAGATAATCAGTTGGGGTTGAGAATATAAGCAATTCCTTTGAGACCAGAGATCTTACCATTATTCCAATTAAAGAATGCCCAAGTAGGTTAAATGTGGAAGAGACATAGAAGAAATAGCCCCAGCCATCCTCATACCATTGGAATGAGCTCCAGACCATATCATTAGAATGAGCTCTATTTTGAAGGGGGGGGGGTATATATATACACACACATGTACACTGTGCTTGAGAAGGTGGTTTGTAAAGATGTCTGTATGCAGTACACATGTGAACAAGCTTTAGTTCTCTGACTGCCCGTGTGCTGTCTCGCATGTTTCTCTTCTAGTGAAGATTTGCAATGGGTGGCAGCCCAATGTGGGAGACCATAGAAAACTCATCGGGCACCAATATGTACTAAAAAAGCTCATGACTCCATTATGATCTTTCTCCTTGAGCATTCCCCAGTACCAAAAGGGCCAGTTAACCCCTAAAATGCACAGTGAGAGGAAGACAGAGCTGTTTTTCCTAGCCAACTCTCTCTATCACTTGTTTGATGTTTGCTGGGTTTTTCTGGTTTTGTTTTGTTTTAGAGTAGGGGAGGGAGTGGATGTAACTTCACAATCCAATACAGTAATTGTTTTGCATCTTCCATGTTTTATGCAAAAACAGACATTTAAATCAATAAATAATTGTGCCCTAGACTGAAAGTTAATGTTTAGGAGAGGAAAAAAATTGTTGGAATTTTTTCTACATTTTTTTGTGAAGAATCTTTTTTGGAAAGGAAGGATACATATTTTTGTTGTGTAATATTTTCTATTTTTGAATGCATTTTATTGGTACAAGACTGTTTTTTTGGTGAAGACATTATTTAAAAAAAAAGAAAAAAAACTAATCGAAAAGTTTGCCCTTAAGGATATGCTGCAGTTTTGAGGTTAAAAAAAAATAACTGATTCAAGATGCGTGTTAAAGTTGGGATTATATTGTTGTTTTTTGTAATTGTTACAAGAAGAAGTTTGTACCCACTGCTGTTTATTTTGTTTCAGATGAGTAAGTAAAGGGATTGTTCTTGTTTTATTCTTTTTTTAGAGAAAAAAAGCTATTTATGAAATGTCAAAAACACTGGACTGTGAGTTTAAGTGTGGAAGCATTTTACCACCCTGTGTCTTCAAACAATTATGGGAACCCCTTTTCTCTTCCCCCCTGCCTTAGCCTTGCCAAATGAGAAAAATACAACAGCCGTCAGACGATCGAAGCCACCGAAGCCCTGCTTTAATTTTTATGGTTTGAACAAGTTGGAAAACCAAAGTTAAATTTGTTTCTGAAACCCCGCTGTCTGTAGCCCTGTTGTGTAGGACACAGCCAGTGAGCCCTGCCTCTCCATCTTGGATCATTGCCTTCTTAAGGACTGGGGGCCAACTCTGATGCAAAGAGAGGCATCCAGGTGGGGAGCCTGAGAGCTGAGATCTCATGAAGGAAGATGTGAGTGGGACCTCAGCCTCTCGGCGCAACCACGATTCCCTAGCCCAAGGCCAGGAGAGCCCACTGCTGACACCTGCTTTGTGTAGACCCTGCTGTGATCCTGGCTCTCTAGGATGGCTCTGCCTCTCTCAGAAGCCCACACATTTCCATGGATGGCAGGGAGCAGGGATCCAAATGAAAGAAGAGGCTGTGGGTGCTCTGATGGCACCCCCAGCCCTCGGGAAGGCAGGGCAAGGGACCACTTGGCACAAGGGACCTTGCCTGCCTCATCTTGGACTCTGTGGATTGTCCATCTGTCTGCTCACTGTGAAGATGGACAGGCAGGGTGCCCTGAGGCTGTCCAATAGCTTTTCCATATTTTTTCAACAATGAAAAAATAGTTTTTAAAAACTGTGATATTTTTTTAAAAATCATTTGGCTGGAGGGAAGGGAAAAGGGAGACACCAAAAGCTGTAACATGATTAACTGGAGATATTAACTGGGGCACTGTCTACACCGAGACTAAGGAATTCCTTTCTGGACCCTACAGCAGCCAAACTTGAGACTGTCAATGACAGAAAGCTGAAGAGAGGCCTCCATTTCTTCCTTTCTCCTTTCTTCTCTCTATTTCAAAATTCTCTCTCGTTCTCTTTTCCAAGCCCCATTGGACTATGGTCCCAGTGGCCCCTGGGACTCCCATTTCATGTGTTTTGAGCACACACACACACATACACACACACAAAGTTGGAAAATATAATTTTTTTCTCAAAGATTGTGGGACCGAATAAAATCATGTGCCTTCATTTTTTCCTTTTGTAGTTAGATGAACCTCTTCCTTCTTACAATCGTGGCTTTTTCTTTGTTTAACATAGGGAAGGTTGAGGTGTTAGTAGAGGACTTGGGCATCATTTGAGAAGCAATTTTTGTTGTTTAGCACATTCCCCATGATCATTAAACACACATTTCAACCCCTTCACGATGCTCTTTGGACATCTGGAGCATCAAGTAGCCAGACGCATGATAGCCTAAATCCACGTGATTTTAGAGCAGTTCCTGAAAATTCGATTTCATAAACTTCTTTGGTTTTATCAAAAATGTGGTGAGCATTGGCTAGCAGCCTCGTTCGCCCGTTTTGGTGCTTTTGCTTGTGGTGTGGGGTGGGCATGGGTGGGGGGTGGGGTGTGTCCAGACAAAGGGTGCATTCCTAAAGATCTCTGGTGCTGCAGGGCCTCTGGTTCCTTTCAGAGACTGCATTTGACACACTGTAAGTACACACAGATGAATGGTATCACATGCAATAGTTTAAGGGAGCAGTGGAAGCGGCTCTTTGAAATGGGGTTTTGCATCTTTTTGTACCATTTTGATTTCTCTGGTGCCTTATTCCTACTCAATGCTGGCACTCACATACCCACAGGAACCTGACACAGAAGTCAGCCTCGGGAGTGGGGACGTCTGGGTGACGCTTGAGCACGCAGGGGCCACAGGGGGTTGGTGTCAGTTGGTGGGGAAGAGACTAGATGACATCTCTGGAACCCAAGCAGGGACTGCACAAATCCAACACAAAGTGAGCAATCCTGATAGGAAAACACACAACAAATTCATTCTCCCCACCTGAGCTCTCCTTCCTTCTTCCTTTTCTATCTCCACCTTCTCATAAAGGTGCTGCTGCTGCCGCTGCTGCTAAGGTGCCCGGGGTCCAGAATGCCCAGTAATCACTCAGGCACAAGCCTGGCACTGCCACATCAGCCCCTGGCACGACCAAACCCAGGTTTCTCTTGCCTGGGGCTGAGAACTGTCAGATTTTTCTCATCAAAAATGTTTTCCAAGGAATCAATGGATTACAGTTATTCTGCATTGAAAATGCACTTTAAAAAAATAAATAAATAAACGCTCCAGACTGTTTAAAATATACAGAGGGAGCAGGGGAAAGATAAATACGTGCTAGTGTCTGAACCCAGTTCAGTTTATCTCCAGTTGAAACAATATACACTATATTATGTATAAATGTATACACACTTCCTATATATATCTACATATATATGTAGTGTATATATTATACATGTATAGGTGTGTATATGTGCATATATACACACATGCACAAAACAACATCAAATGCTCATTACAAATCCAGATACCACCCAAACAGCAGCAGAGGAAACAAGGTTGGACTCTTGCAACAGATCACAAAAAATAAAAACAGCCACTTGCAGTGACTTTGGTCATTTCTGTATGTTCAAACGGAATGGATCGTAACAAGGAAAAAAGGAACAGTGTTAGTGAAAGAGGAAAAATGGGCGAAACCATCTTGATCCAATGGGAATGCAGTAATGTTCTAGATCATTTCATCAGTTCTTTCTTTTAATCATCTTGATTTGATTTCAGTTTTTGGCTATTAAAAAAAACCAGTTTTTTAAACTCAAGTGACCACAACAAAGTAAACAAAACAACAACAGTGAAAGCCTTTTCAGTGGAAGATGTCAGAAATCTCAAAACCCTTGGCCTGACTCAGAACTACCATGTGCAGATCAGTACTCTCTTACTGTTTGAAATAAAAACTGAAAAAAAAAAAAAAACTTTTTTGAAGCACCTTAATGTGGCCATCCATTTGAGGAGTGGGTGCCACTTTTTTCTTTGAGCACCTTATTGACGTGTTTTGCTATCTGCTGTCTTTCTGTTACCTGTTGGCTGAATGGCTAGCTGTTAACACGCACATGTGCGCAGACCAGACATCTGGGCACGTGTGTTCTCAATGAAGTTTACTGTGGTGACTGCTGAAAGGTGAACCCATTTCCTGATTTTCCCGCCACAGTGTTGTGATAAGATTCAAAGAAACCCCTTCCCCTGCACAGAACTGTTTCTTATCACATTGTATCTTAGTATGGAAAGGAATATGGTCCCTTTTTTGCAATTGCTACTGTGTACACACACACACACACACACAGTGTATATTCAGACCTAACACACACACACCCCCATGCATATTCATTCATCCTGATGGTATTTCCAGTGTCTGTGTGTGTGTGTGTCCTTGTTGATGCAGCTTCCATTTCCCAGTGACTTTGGGATGGAGGGCAACTTTTCTAATGGCTGTCTTTGCAAACCGAAGACCTGGGATTTGGGGAAGAGTTTGCAAAGAGGGAAGAGGCAAGGAAAAAGAAAGCTTTAAACTGAAAGGGTCATTTCCCAAGAGGAAACTGGGCTGAATGACCGCAGAGACTCTACCCTCCAGTCTTGGTAGGTGGGCGTGGAACGCTGCGTGTATCACTTTGTGTTCCGTGTCTGTCCACATACACACGAACACACCCATCCATCCGTCAATATATACATGGTTTGGGATGAGCAGGTCAATAGTTTTGAGAGAGAGTTTGTTCCTTTTTTTTCTCAGTATACTCTTAAATTGTTGTCAGTTATCAAACAAACAAGCAGAAAAATTGTTTTGAAAAACCTTGCATACGCCTTTTCTATCAAGTGCTTTAAAATATAGACTAAATACACACATCCTGCCAGTTTTTTCTTACAGTGACAGTATCCTTACCTGCCATTTAATATTAGCCTCGTATTTTTCTCACGTATATTTACCTGTGACTTGTATTTGTTATTTAAACAGGAAAAAAACATTCAAAAAAAAAAAAGAAAAATTAACTGTAGCGCTTCATTATACTATTATATTATTATTATTATTGTGACATTTTGGAATACTGTGAAGTTTTATCTCTTGCATATACTTTATACGGAAGTATTACGCCTTAAAAATACGAAAATAAATTTTACAAGGTTTCTGTTTTGTGTGGAAGAGTAATTGATGTTGCTAAGAATGATGTTTGTTTTTTGGGGTTTTTTGTTGTTTTTTTTTAAATGTTACCAGCACTTTTTTTGTAAGTTTCACTTTCCGAGGTATTGTACAAGTTCACACTGTTTGTGAAGTTTGAATATGAAGGAATAATTAAAAAAAAAAAAACTCCTCTCTTGGTTTCCTATTGTGTCTCCTTTATATGATGGTGGTGTTGGGGTTCCTTTCCCACTGTGTGGTCCAGGTATTATCTGAGAATATCCAAACTAAGGACTATGATAGAAGGTCAGAAAAACCCTCAACCCTAACAGTACTCTTGATATGAGTAGGAATTACAAGGCTGGTGGTGTTGAGGTCATTTTGGGGAAATACAAGGCAAGTTTGGACCTCATATATCCCACTCCTGTCCAAAATCTTCAAAACGATGACACAGCTGATTTACTGCTAAACAAATCGCTTTCTATTCCCATTTTTTTTCCCTTCCCTTCGCCATGTACAGACCAATATCTTTCTGCCTTCTGTGGATGTAACCAATCGCAGACAAGACTGTGTCCCCCTAACCTTGTGTTCTCCTATCTGTATCATGCCATGAATCTACCACTGAGTCTCCTTGTCCTTTCTTGGGTTCCTCAGCTCTATATACACAAAAGGAAAGTTTATGGCACAAAATATGTCTCTAGTTGATGACTTTGGAGACCCCGAAGGGATTTCTGTTTATTCTACAGGCTCTCTTTTAAGGTAAACTTAGCCAAAATAGCTCTCCAACCTCACTTTCCAAACAGAAATTGCTAATGTGATGTGGAAAATTTGTGTCTCATTTCTCCCTCATGAAGTCAACCCAAATGAGTTAAATTCACTAAGTCTTCAGTAAGCATCTGTATTTCACACAACACTGCACAATGAATGAATAAAATGGAGAAAATTATTTTAGACTGATAAACTTGAACTCTAACAGCTAGAAATAGAAGTACATATAGAATGAAGAGGCAGATTATACCAACTCTCAAAATCGTGGAGTTTTGTAACCTAACAGAAAGAAGGACTAGGGTAAATCAAGGTCCAAGGGAGAACCAGTCGAGTTTGGGGAAATCACACAGACATTAGGCTTTGAGTTGGAGGAAGTGAGTGTGGACAATCATTTCTACCAGTATGAGGAACACGAAAATATCCAGTCATGAATTTAGGATGCAGAGAGTCAAAAGCAGACCTCTGTACTGAGAGGGCTCAAATGGGCTCCTGTGCTCCAGGGTGACTTTTGTGGATTGAAACATTGATTTCTCACAACTTAAGCAGTGAACCCCTAAATTAACCTGATATGAATCCAAAAAGTATAAAAAGAAGAGAAAGAAAACATTCTCTTCATGCATGATTTATCCCTTCTCACTTTGTGAACCTGAGCAGTATTTTAATGATGCCAGCCACTTCACCCAGAGTTTTTCTTTTATATATCCTTTCATACTATCCACACACTCTTGAGGCTTCTTCTATATCTATTGAAAACATGGTGGTGTGGTTGACAAGACATAATCAATGTAAATGGCATATATGCTATTCATATGCAACTTCATAGTTCATAAAATTTCTCCTTCATAAGCATTATCCATCCTCGGAATTGCGCTGAGAACCCGGTGAAGAAACCATTACACCAATGCATCGACATTTGGGTTCAGAAATACGTTTTACCAATGCAAAATAATTAATCAACTGCTTGAACTCCACTTTTCTGAAAAAAATACCTCCCACAGACCTCCCTTATGTGAGAGTCTGTGATTATTATTTACTGTTCAGTAATATATTAATGATATTAGGCAAAATTATTGTTATTATAACATTTCTTAAATATGCTTAGACATAACCAAGTACATCTGTTATGCCTATTATCCTCAGAGAATTATAACACAAAAATTAAGTTACAAACTAATCACAAGTAAAACTCTAAAAATTAGGCACTGGTGTCCTGAGTAGTTAAGCTGCTGCTTGGGACACCCACATTCCATATCATAATGCCTGGCTTGGAGCCCCTTCTCTGCTTCTGATCCAGCTTTCTGCTCATGCCCACAACGGGAGGCAGCAAATTATGGCTCAGGGCTTGGGGTCCTATCACCCACGTTGGGAGTCCCAGATGGGGTTACTGTAGGCACTTGGGGAGTGAGCCAGAGATAGAATATCGATCTCTCTCTATCTCTCTCTCTCTCTGTCTCTATGCCTTTCAAACAAAAATAAATAAAATATATAACTCCATAAAACTCTAAAACTAATCATGCTTGCAATAACAGCATTAACTCAATGAATTGGATGAAGCTTTGCTGAATCTCAGTCATGGCTCACATGGGCTTGGGCACAATGCCTTTGAACAAAGGAATCATTTCTGAATTAGGCCTCCACACCTTGAAAGCAGCTTAGTTATGAACACAAACATGGGCACCAAAAATAATGACAGCACCTAATAAGAAGGTCATCGTTATCCAAGATATGTTTGACTTTTTTAAAGATTATTTAAAAAGTGCTTAAAACAAAATTTTTAAATGCTTACAAAGAACTTTTGAACCTTGATGCTGTTTTTGCAACAATTTTCTTTACTTCTCAGTTTTTAAAAAACATTGATAAATTCCAGATACTCTGGGTACTTTTAACAAATTTCTTGCCCTCTCGGGAACTTCTGTGGCATCAAAAACAGTTTCCAGTGCACATGCGATGGGACACAACGCAATAACAATCTTCATTCAGCATTTTACAGCAGACAGAGTAGTGAACCACATTCTTCATCCTCTCAAAAACCTTAGAAAGTAACTATTGCTGTTGCCATTTTACAAATGAAGAAATATTTGTAAGGAGGCTCTGAGAAGTTAAGAAGTTAAGCGACTCAGCCTAAGTCATGAAATCATCGAGTCTCAGCACTTGGACCCAGTAGCCCCGCTTGAGTCTATCACACTGTGTGGTAGGTATCTTGTGATCTCTGCAAAATCCACTGGAACTGTATTCCCAGAGAATGTGTTCTTCACAAATCACACAAAATCAGAAAGTCAGGATGACTATTGTTCAGGTAAGCCTTGTGATAAAAGCCAATTCTCACATAACTAATCTGTGAGTTGCAAACTCCTTGATAGTCCTAGTCCTGTTTATGTGAATTGGAGCACTTAGCAACTTCAGGTACTTTTTGGAAAGAGCTTAAGATAAATTCACAACCTGCTGTTTCTGGATCGGAGAAAGGATACAGAAGAATAAAGGAAATGTCCATGTTTCTTCCTGGTGGCGGTATTTTCCAGTGCATACTGTCCAGTGTCCTATAAATACAGCTCCCTCTCTTTTCTCCATATGCAAGTTAATTACTAGGATTGTGGTGTCAAATATCCTAGCTACCAGACACATGTCACTATTTACATTTAAACTCAATTTAATTTAAACAAAATTCCACTTTCAGGTCACTGGCCACATTTCAAGTGCTCAGTAACCATCTGTGGTTAGTGGCTACCATATTGAGCAGCACGTAGAACATTCCCATCATCACAAAAAGTTCTATTGGATAGCATCGTTCTACACCCTACCTTACGCAAATCAATTATCTCAAACATAAAATATGTAGTACTGACTTCCAAAAAGCTCAGGCTCTTGCCACACCTCAGATTCCTCTATGCCTCCTGATGGGTGTACTTTGCAGTGGGGCTAAGGATGACTAGCTATAGCCATGGAGCAGTGCTGGGAAGAATCAGAAGACTCAACAAAACTCACAGCCCACAGCCACATTGCCTGTCCATTCATGGACAACACTACAGCCTCCTGGCCCATCCAGCTCAGCATTGATGGAATCTGTATGACCCTCAGTGTGTGATGATTCACTTATGCGGCTCTTAGAGTAAGAAGGGGTAAGAAATGAAACAGTATTACATGGTAAGTTACTGTGCACTCACGAGGACCATCTATCTCAAAGCTCCCCGTCATTTTCCATAACCCCAGGCTCAGAAGTTGGGCAGGGAGTCAGTACCTGTATTTTTCCCATTCACTGACTCACTTTTTCTCCTCTCTTTCCGCCGGGGGAACCCAAGAGAGGATCCAGGAGCTTGTGTAGTCTCTTCCTGTCAGCACGTAGTGGTCCCCACCTCAATATCCCCTGGGTTTCTCTCCTATATATTTCTCAGAAGACAAAATAAGGAAGAAAAGTTCCCTCAAACACTATTCTGAGTGAGAAAGAATGAGACAGTGAACAACAGACATGGAAAGATAGCTAGACAGACATAGACACCCAGGTGCCAGTGTGGCTTGGGTTAAGAGTTTAGAACTCTGTGGTTCAATAGAAATATAATGGGAGCCACATTTGTAATTTCAGACTCTTTTGTAATCACATTAAAACAGAAACATAAAATTAATTTAAACTATATTTTATTTAGCCCAAAATATAATTCAACATTCCAACATATAATCAATATTTTAAAATTACTAAGATAGTTTACATTCTTATTACTCATATTACATCTTGGAAATCTGGAGTGTATTTTACACTCACAACACAGCACATCTCAATTCAGACCAAGCACATCTCAGGTGGTACACAGCTACCTGTGGAAAGTGGTTACCGTAGTGGCCAGTGCCTGTCTCCAGGGAGCTGGCTTTGAGGAAAGTGTCTTCTCTGGTTCTCAGAGGAAAATCGAGTTCAGTGAATTCCACCTTAAAATTTATTTTCTGTCAAACTGATTCTTATTTCCATTTTGCATCTTCTCACCAACACAGTGGTATTTGTAAATGTTTCCCCATTACCATAATGATGTTAAATAACATCCATCTCTCAGTCCAACTTTGCCTCAGTATACATCTCCTCCAAATCACAACATCACTCCCTCTTTGTCATTATATTTTAATTCACTTCCAATTCATGAACTGTGTTCTCCTCCCAACCACTCTGCACTAGTTCTGTGAGAAAAAACAGTGCGCCCTTCCCTGGCGGACAACAGCGTTGTATACGGATCTGTCTTCCGAGGGACTCGGAGCATGGGGCAGATTTCAGCTCATTGCTCCTAAGCACATGTCTGCTCTGTCAGAAGGAGAGAAAAAGTAAAATCCAAGAAGGAGCAGGAGCTGGCCGTCTTCTTGCTCGTCCTTAAGGAGGGGAGCCGTGCTTTAACTGTTGGCGAGTGATTGCCTTGCTTTGCTTCATTCTCGGTGCCTAAGTCCAGGTAAGAAAATCAGTCACCAGTAAACCCAGCCTCCCTGCTCATTCCTCCCACAGACATGGCGGAAGGATGCAATTATTCCAGGATTCAGTGCGAGCGGCGCAGTTGAACAGCAGTGAGCAGCTCAGAAGCCACCTCCGGTGAAGAGGTCGGGGCGTGAATAAACGGGTTCAGAAAAGCCACTGTGCAGGTGTTATTTTTTCAAACCCTCTATCACCACCCTATTTTTCAAAGTCCAGATTTTCCTTTTGGTTGAGAGCAGACACTCTTTCTGTTTCAATGGTGGGTTGATCCAGAAAGGGCCGACTTTGGCCCAAATGCTAAGAGCCAGTCGGCTCCGTGGGCACACCTCCCTGTGGGCATCCCCAGCACACACAGCCGGGAGAGTCTTGTGTTGTCTGTACCAGGCCGTCGTTAATGGACTGTGAGTACAGCACAACTTGAAATGCCTGCCCAGAGAATAAAATCAGAAGTTCCTTGGCCTCCTGATGCCAGGGCCTTCCTGTGGGACTTTGGCTCCACCAACTTCCATTGCTTCAACCTCCCTAGACAGCCTTGCTGTTCCCTTTGTGCTCCCGAGCCACTTCCTCCACACCCATAAGCCCAGCCTGACCCCCTCACCCTGAACTGACCTCTGTCTTGTATCCTTATCTCCTTACTGACTTTTGATGTCAATGTCTTCCCACCTAACTGCATTTTATAAAAGGCAGAAACCAAGTTTCATCATCTTCAGATCACCCCAAAGAGAGGCTGGTTTCCTGCCTTGTTTATAAAAAGCCAGGAACGAGTGAATGTAGATGAAAATGGCAGTGAGAAATGAAATGCACATGGCTGTGCAGTCCTGACCACCATTCTTCTATCCACCATAAAACCCTGCAGGCCAAAACCCTTTCCAGTGCTATTATAAAGAAAGTGTTTCTATATATATATATATATATATATATATAACTTTGCATCCATGATTAAGGTACAAGGTACCCACCCCTGGTCTTCCACAATGGAACGAAATGAAGATGGGGAAAAGAATGGCATCCATCCACTGAGCAAAACATACACACACACACACACACACACACACACAGCACTGATGCAGAGTGCAGATGCTTACACATCCGTTATCACAGCAAAGACAAGATTAGGTCTCCCATAAGATGCCTCTGGTTGCTAGCCTGTCTCTGCTAGGAAGCTGATGCTCCCCAGGCTTCTGTAACTCAGGACATTAAAGTAGTCGTGCGGCTCATCATAGTCATCTCCCCTCTGCTCCAAGCAGAGGTCAGCAGGGGCAGTGGCTGCCTGGACACAGCTTTCCAGAGAAGAGGGAACACTGGGACCCCGTTCCTCCTGCTCAGCAGACGTCCTCCGGGGGCCACTTTCTGCAGAATGTATTCTGAGAAACTGCTTCTAAAAACAAAGCACAACATGAATTAAGTTACTCCCCAGCATGACACACAACTTTAATGTTCTCTCTGTTTCTTAGGCACTCATACACATGTGTACCTGCTGGCCTACAGCTTTGATTTTATCTCGCTCTGTGCTGCATTTCACACTGCGGAATGCTTCCCTTCTGAAATGTGCTTCCATGGCTCCCGTGGCAAGACTCTCCCTGGTTCTTCTCCTCCTCCTTTGCTGCCCAACTTAGTCTTCAGCTAGGCCTGCCTTTCTGTTCCTTGCACGCTGACTCCATGAACCAAGGGAATCTTGAGTTCTACCCGCTGCTTTCTCATAATACCCAAGACTCTCTCTGATTCACTTCATTGTATGGACTTTTACAGCCACTGACTGTCTTCTGAAGACCCCCAAATCTCTATACCACCTAGCCCAGGCTTGTGCCCTGAGCTCCAGATCAAGTGTCCACCTGCTAACTGGGCATCACAACCCAATGACCCACAACAAGCCCAGACTCCACTTTTCTCAACCAAAACCAGCACATTCCCTCTCCCATAAACTGCACCTGCCCCTACATTCTCTACCCTGGCTTACTGCACCAGCTGATCAGAAACCTGGTGGCTAACATTAAACCCCGATTATCCATAAATTCCCATCCAATTTTACTCCTAAGTGGCTCTGAAATCTCCTCACTCTTCCCCATCCCTACTTCCATGCCTTCTCTCTCACTTGTACCTCACACTTGCCTGCCTCCAGACTCTCTCTTACCTCTAGTTCAGTTTCACACAAGCACCAGAAGAATGATCATTCGAAAAAGAGAACTGGGTCCATTTTTCTGCCTAAAACCCATCAATGTTCCCTTTATCCAAAGAAGGGTGCTTAACCTGGGATGCACCAGTGGACTTCAGGGGATTTGTTAATATCCTTAACTTGTATTTGAAAAGTTTGCATAAAAGCTCATTCTTCTGGAAAGAAAATCCCTAATTTCATTACATCCCCAAAAGGAGATTGTAATGTCCCCAAAAATGCCCTTTGTGACTTGGTTACATCTACCTTCCCAGCTTCACGTCCTGCTATGTTCCCCCAACCAGTGCGCCCCAGCTTCTGACACTGAGCGAGCTCTTAGGCAGTCCCACACCAACTCCAGTGAGGTTTCTACTTTCAAATGAGCTACCAGGCACAGGCAGCTGAAGTCACCTGCCAAATGTTGTCTCACTCTAGGCCATGCTCTTTCTCCTCAGCCAAAATGCCTCTCCATTTACAGTTTTTGGAATGCCAAGCACGTGCCTCCTCAAATTTGGATAGTCTATATCCATTGTCCATCCTTGATTCGGTATCCATTGTCCACACCATGTAGTTTTCTGAAGAGTTGTCCACTCTTCTCCATGGCATGTTGTCTAAGAAGCTGTCTCAGACCCTCAGGGAGAGCTGCCTTCCTCCTGTATGCTATGGCATGGTCCAAAACATTCTCCATTATAATATTCAATACTTTCTAGAACTTATTTCTTTAAAAAAAGATTCATCTTTATGAAAGGCAGAGTCCTAGAGAGAGTAGGAAATGCAGAGAGATAGCTTCCACCCACTGGTTCACTCCCCCAAATGGCCACAACATCCAGGGTTGGGCGAGGCCAAAGCTAGGAGCCAAGTGCTTCATATGGATCTTTCACATGGGTGTATGGGCCCAAGGACTTGAACTATCTTCCACTGCCTTCTCAGGTGCTGAATTGGAAGTGGAGCAGCCAGGACTCCAACTGGCACCCCTATGGGCTACCAGAGGTACATGTGGTGGCTTAACCCATTATGCTCACCAAGAGAAGGGTCCACACAGTTTTCACTTTTACAATCTCATATCCCATAACAGATGCTTACTATCAGAGAACCTCAAAAAGTTTGCAGAAAGTGGAATTAAACCATAAGTGTGGTTCCTTTTGGTCCCAGCAGCAGCAGTGCCAAGCCAATAGTGCCCTCACTTCCTCCAGCTCTCCATGACTACTCCTGCACCACTGTCCACCTGCTGCCTACCCCAACACTGTGCCCAAATAAACCATCTCCTTTGCCAAGGACTTCAAGGCAGGAAGCATCCCTGCTGCCATCTCCAAGATGGTCATGCCCCCATTGGGCAGATCAAGCTGTTGCTGCAGGCCCAGTGTGCCAACCAAGCAGATGGCACAGACAAGCAGGACAAAGGCACTGTGTAGCACCACAGTATCTGTGCCCCCAGGGAGCAGGAAGGGTGTGCTGTCTTTCTGGAGGAGCAATCTGGCCAGAGTCATCCACTACTATGCCATGTATGCCCTCAACTTCGCCTTCATAGAAAAGTACAGAAAGGTCTTCCTGAGGGGCATGGACACCCACACACAGTTCTGCAGGAATTTTTGACTACAATCTGATCTCCAGATGGGTGGCCAGGACCACCTTCCTCCCTTTGTGAGCCCTCTGGATTTTGTGGGAGTCCGCCTTGCTGATGACCTTGGGAAATAGTGTACAGAGTTCAAGTTTAAAGTCCTGGGAGATTGGTGAAGATCACCAGGTGGACATGATTCAGGGCCTGTACCAGGGCTTTCACATCTGTGTGGCAGCATCATCTACTGGGCCGCCTACTTCAGTATGTAAAACATGACCAAGGACATGCTCCCCAACCCAAAGAATACACACATCTTTGTGAGTTGGATGATCTCCCAGACCATCACAGCCATGGCCAGTGTTGGCTGCCATTCTTTCCACACCTTGCAGCAACAGATGGTGCAGCCTGGGTCACAGGAGCTGACTTCATATACACAGGGACCTTCAATTATTAGAAAAACGTTTTCAATACTGAAAGGGAAAAACTTTCTTCAAAGGTGCATGGTCCAAAGTCCTCAGAGGCATGGGAGGTGTGGGCAGGAAGCTTCATGAAAGTTCTATAAGACAACCTGAAGAAAGTCATCTAGGCATACCTGTGTCCTTGGTCAAAGTGGGAACCAAGAGAATCATACAGAATATGTAACTGCTACCTATGAGAAATTCCTACCATGTCTCCTGGCCAGATCATGGCTTGGAAGGCTCTAAGAAAGAGGCTCACTGGGCTCACGTATGGCCATTGACCCCTTGATTCCATGCATTGATTACTGGGGTGAAGGGGGTAGGGATGAGGAATCATGAAATCATTGCAAGGACCTAAACCCAGTTCTGTCTGATTCCAAAAACCATACTCCTAAATAATGTAGTCTACTGACCCCCAGGATCTCTAGGGAATGCTCTTGGTGCCCCCGCCTAGATCCGTCTTCCTAACCAGTACCTCCATTCCCTGGGTGCTGCGTTCACAGAGGCTCTTCTCTGGAGAGTTGCTCTTGTACCCTCTCTGAGGTGCAGCCAGGAGTCAATAACCAGCTAAGGTAAATTCTCAAAAGTCCAACTCCTTACTGGAAGGCACGACAAACTGCCTGCATTCTTGCTTCAACCAAGTCTCCAGTTGAGACCACATCCAAGCTGAGCTTTCTTCCCCCAGCCCTCCCCTGCTTCCTTCATGAGCCTTCATCTAGAATCTATCCCAATAGAGCACCCTCAGCAGAATGCATGTGTCAGGCTTGACTCCTGGGGACCTGATTTAAACAGCTGCTCCTTGGAAAGGTGCTAGAAGGCAGGCCCTAAGGACAGGACCGGGGAGGAGGACCACTTACCAGCTAGATGGCTGCACAGATACCATTTCTGGACGTGAAATGGGATGACACCACAAAGGAAGGGAATTATGAGCTAGTACAGTGTCTCTGGCACTTGAGAACTATGAGGTAAACAAATGATTGCCACCAGAGCTCCAGGGCTGGGGGTCTTGTGCTACCTTCCATTGATGACAGCCTCAGGTCTATCAGCAACTTAAAGTGAAGTGTGAAAGTCAGAACTCCTCCTTGGCAACATCTAAAGAGAAATTCATCTACAGCAACTGAAGGCCACAGAAAAGAGTTAATTTTAAGAGTGACGGAACTTCAAAGAAGGCTGGCTTCTAAGCCTAGACAAGTCTCCTATACTAAAATTAGGGTCTTGGGGCTAGCGCTGTGGTGTAGTGAGTTAAACCTCCTCCTGAAGTGCTGGCATCCCATACAGGTGCCAGTTCGAGTCTCAGCTGCTCCACTTCTGATCCAGTTTTCTGCTAATGGCCTGGGAAAGCAGTAGAAGATGGCCCAAGTGCTTGGGTCCCTGCACCCATGTGGGAGACCTGGCTCCTGGCTTCAGATAGGTTCAGCTCCTGCCATTGCAACCATTTGGGGAGTGAACCGTGGATGGAAGACCTCTCTCTCTTTCTCTCTCTCTCTGTCTCTCTCTTTCTCTCTGCATCTGCCTCTGCCTCTCTGTAACTCTACCATTCAAATAAATAAATAAATATTTTAAAAGGTAAATAAATAAAATCAGGGTCTTTAAATGAAAGGAGGAGTCTCTGAGACTTGGAAGAAGGGTCTCTGAGGCAACTCCCTTGAGAACCTTGAACCACCTGCTCTTCTTACACCATCTGGAGCTTCAGAAAACAAGTCCCACCAGGATCGGCCTCTTCCTCCTGTACCAACCATCAGACCCATAATTAGAGTAAAATCTCAGCCTACCTAACTGAGGAAGTTCTAGTTCTCCTAAGGTTATGTGTGAGAGGTCTGGCTAACATGTACTGGCTGGAACTCAGAGAATAGGCCTGGGAGTGAATCCTGGGGTGATGGATGAGGGCTGGGGGGTAGAATGTATGAGTAGGGATCAGCATGAGTAGGGATCAGCGCTGCGGTGCAGCAGATGAAGTCACCGCTTATGGTGCCAGCATCCCATATAGGTGGCAGTTCATGTCCTGGCTGCTTCATTTCTATCCAGCTCCCTGCTAATGACCTGGGGAAGCATCAGAAGATGACCCAAGTTCTTAGGCTCCTGCACCCACATGGGATACCTGAAAGAAGTCCCTGGCTTTGGCCTGGCTCAGCACCAGCCATTGTAGCCATCTGGGGACTGAACTAGCAGGTGGAAGGTTTCTCTCTCTCTCTCTCTCTCTCTCCCTCTCTGCC